ACCAGAACATCATCATTATGTTGATATCACCAGTGAAAGATAAAATTCGGGAAGGAGTTTTAATTGGTTTCTTGGTCTCCTGGGCCGGCAAGGATGAGCATAGCCCTGTCTTGCCTGCTTGCAAGCTCTGAGATAGAACTTGTCACATTCCTTTTTGTCAAGTTGCATAGAAAATTAACCAGAGGCAATCAGCGGAGGGAACTTGGTGTCCCTGGCTAACCAAGACCACCGCAGTGGAGACACTTTCAGGGATTATCCTAAGGGTGTTTTTTTTTTTTTCTTCCTTCTTTAAAATTTGAAGCTATCTGGCACAGTTCCAACTCTCTCCAGCTGGATTCTCAGCACACACCTGGTTTCCTTCATCAAGTCTTCTCCTGAGTACTTGCCGTTCAGATTCTTTTTCAGTGTTGTCTACAGAAAGTTGCCATCGTGGAGCCCAGCTGTCATGGCTAGGCTTGCCAAGGGAGATTTTCTGCGGAGAGCCCAAGATCAAAGCAACATCTTGCCTTGAAAGTTTGGAGCATGAGGGAGGAGGGGAGTCTCCTGGTGTCATGTCCAGTTGCAGAGGTCCGAAGCTGTTTCCCAGGTGAGAATGGGCACGTACCCTCCTTCTGTTCTCAGCTCCAGGTCAAAGGGCAGCATTGACAACCACTGTGAGGATTTCAACTAGAGCTTATCGTGACATAGAATTTTTGAATGCTAACAGAACAGTCTACATGACATATTATCTCATTTTGATTTGCACAAGCATGTCAGAAACATTATCACACTGATAGGGCCCAAGTCTAAGGCATTTCAAGGAATAGCAATAGCAATATGGAACCTAGTAATTGTTGGAGAGCTGGGGTATTTTCACAAGTAGGTAGGAGAGTCAGTGGCTCAAATTGTGGAGTCAGAAGGTATTAGATTAAGAGGATGGCATGTAGCGTCACTGCTGCTTTTCCCTGCCTTTCATTCTATGACTTCTGGGTCAAGCATGTGGGGAAAGTAAGCCAATCTTCCTGATCATACCAGTAAAGAAGAGGAGAAAGAAGAAGGCATGCCGCTTCCTGAGAGAGACAACTATTATCTTTTGTACCTACTGATAATAAAGTATCCTACAACAGCCAGTGACATAATCGGCCACCTTTATAGCTACACATTGCCTTCTGCTTTGGTCTCTCCCAGGCCATTAGCATTACTCCCTCAGCATTACAGATTGGAGACGCTGAGGCAAGGAACAGGGAAAGGACTCAGCCAAACACAAAGCAAACCCCTCAGCACTGTAGAGCCAAGAGGCCTGCTAATCTTTAGTAATAGCAACACTGAGAATAAAACCATCATCCAGTCCAACTTATTCCAAACATTCTGCACAGCAAAGGAAACCATCAACAAAATGAAAAGACAACCTACTGAATAGGAGAAAATAGTTGCAAATCATACATCTGATAAGGGACTAGTATCTAAAATATATAAAGAACTCAACAGCAAAAGAACAAATCAATTAAAAAATGGGCAGACCTGAATAGATATTTTTCCAAAAAAGACATATCAATGGCCAACAGGTACATAAAAAGATGCTCAACATCACTAATCATCAGGGAAATGCAAATCAAAACCACAATAAGGGCCAGCCTGGTGGCGTAGTGGTTAAGTTCACACGTTCCACTTTGGCAGCCCAGGGTTGGCAGGTTCGGATCCTGGGCATGGACCTACTCACCGCTCATCAAGCCACGCTGAGGCGGCATCTCATCTAGAAGAGCTACAACTCTACAACTATGATATACAACTATGTACTGGGGCTTTGGGGAGAAAAAAGAAAAAAAAAGAGGTCTTCAGATTGGCAACAGACGTTAGTGCAGGGCCAATCTTCCTCGAAAAAAAAAATTAAAGAAAAAAAACACAATAAGCTATCACCTTGTACCTGTTAGAATAGCTATTATCAAAAAGACAAGGGGGGCTGGCCCAGTGGCGCAAGCAGTTAAGTGCGCGCGCTGCGCTATGGCGGCCCGAGGTTCGCTGGTTCGGATCCTGGGCGCGCATCGACGCACTGCTTGTCAAGCCATGCTGTGGAGGTGTCCCATATAAAGTGGAGGAAGATGGGCATGGATGTTAGCCCAGGGCCAGTCTTCCTCAGCAAAAAGAGGAGGATTGGCAGATGTTAGCTCAGGGCCGATCTTCCTCAAAAAAAAAAAAAAGACAAGGAATAATGTGTTGGGTGAGGATGTGGAGAAAAGGAAACCCTTATGCACTGTTGGTTGGGATGTAAATTGGTGCAGTCACCACAGAAAACAGTATGGAGGTTCCTCAAAAAATTAAAAATAGAACTACCATAAGATCCAGCAATTCCATTTCTGGGTATTTATTTGAAGAAAACCAAAACACTAATTCAACAAGATATACGCACTCCCAGGTTCATTGCAGCATTATTTACAGTAGCCAAGACAGGGAAACAACCTAAGTTTCCATTGATGGATGAATAAAGAAATTTTGGTGTATACACACACACACACACACAGTAATATTATTCAGCCACAAAAAAGAATGAAATCTTGCCATTTGCAACAACACAGATGGACCCTGAGGGCATTATGCTAAATAAAATAAGTCAGACAGAGAAAGACAAATACTGTATGTTTCTCTTATATGTGGAACCTTAAAAAAAAAAAAAAAAGCTCACATATACAGAGAACAGATTGGTGGTTGCCAAAGGTGGGAGCTGGGGGGTGGGAGAAATGGGTGAACTTTTATTTTTTCAGTTTAAATAAATTGAATAAATAATAAATAATATCTAGAGTGGATTCCTGTGCATTTTCAGCATATTCTGTGCTAGGTTACGAAAAGGAATCCTCTAAAATGGGAGACAATAATGCTTAGTAAATTCACATGAAGCAGAATCTTACTTATTAGTCTAACCTAATTAGACTAATCAGGTAATCTGTCAATCATCAATATTTACTCAATGTCTCTTCAACTATCAGTGGTAATGGAGGAAAGCAATACTATAACCTACCTATTTTGGACACGGGTATCCAACAAATATGTTTCATTGATTGATTATTACACAAATCAGTGGTTAACCAAAAAAAGAAAAAAAAAAAATCACCCACTAGTTCATCTGCAGACTGGGATTGCATGAAATGATGTTCTCTCACAGTTGGTGTGCCCTTCTTTTAATTGTTTTGTTCAGGCTGGTGCTGAAATGAGCTTGCATTTCGGTTCTGAGAGGATGATTTGTCCATGACCACACCGCTAAACATGACTAAGCTGACTCACGAACTTGGCCAAATCCAAGGACTCCAACACTGTGCAGCGATGTTGGACACAGGATACGAGCATTGGCTCGTATCCCAAAGAAGAAACCATATTATTCAAATTCTAACCTAATAATCCTTCTGTTCTTGATTGATTTGAGAGTATCATTCAACTGATCACCTAAGACAGCCAAGGAAGCCATAAGACACACTGATTGTAATAATTCTTCAATGACTAGGAAACTTGGTTGACCAAAGGATAGGAGAGGAAAAAATCCATCAACATTCATTACAATAAAGACTGATACTTGTAGGCCTTCTCCTTCTACTTCTATTAAAGTGCCAATTAATAATGGTCACAAGTAGCATATTTTACTGAATAAAGAAAATACTAACTTATGACTTGAAGTATAAACAGTGGCTAATAAATGATTCTGCAAATCATTCTTAAAGCTGACATACACATATATATGTGTTAAACTTTACATATGTATCTGGTTTTATTTCATACTCTAGGGAAAAATGCCCTGATCTCTTTTCTATTTCTAACTTACCATGTGAATACCAACAAGTTATTAAGCCACTCCAGGTCTCAAATGTTCCATCAATCAAACAAGGTGATTGGATTTCAAGTCTGAAGCAACACAGCAGAATGGAAGGAACTTCCAATACAGCCACAGTTGAGACTGAATCCAAGACCTAGCATCTTGTTAAATGTTTGGCTGTGGATCTATATGTCACCTCTTTCCTCATCTAGGTAAGTGGAGAAACCACACCCTTCTCACAGGGTTTGGTAAGAATGCAAAATAATACACTTAAAGCTACCCAGCACAGTGCCTGATTCATTGGAGTGCTCAATAAAGAACAGCAGATGATCATGATTCATTCCTTCATACCACAAACATTTACTGAACCTCAACTCTGTGCCAGGCATTATTCTAGGTTGAAGGATACAGGAGGTAATGAAACTGACAAAATTCCCTGCCTCAGCGAACTGGCATTGCGGTGGCATGGTGAGGCATAACTCTAACATGTCGGAGCTACGTGCCTTATGCTGCATAAAGGTTCTGACTCCATTCTCAGCCTCACTACAGAATCCAGAGCAATTAGTCCCTCTGAGTCTCATCCCAGGCTGGCTAGGTCCCCACCGACTTAAGGAGAAGCCATATACTAGAACTGCTCCTCTAGGCCTCTCTCATCAAAACACCACGGAGGGCAGAGCCAGGCCTGAGCTTCACACTTACCTTCCACCTTAGCCCCTTCCCCCCTCTCCTCAGCCAGAACTCTTCCCCAAGTCTGCAGCAGAGCCTTCCAGAAACCTCCGTGAAGGCCAGGTTTGCTTAGCGGCATTACCCCTTACTTCCCACCAGAGGTCGCTCTCACACACAAGCACAAGCCGACAGAACCCGGCTTCGCCTTCTCGGCAGCAGTGACATTATTTTCTTTCTCTATTTTTATCTATTAAAAAGATTTCTTCACAGCCATAACTTAGATCTCTACACTAAAATGGAGCAACAGGAAGATATAATGGTGCATTTCATTTATGAATGACCTATAATAAATTACTCTGAAGTGTCCCGAGTGCCAGAAGACAGAACACTTTGTCTGCCCATGGACTGTATTTCACATACTTTAATTTAGCTGACACATAAAACTCATTTGACATTTCGCAGGTATTTGTGTGGGGCGGGGGGGGGGGTGGCATGCGAGAAGGGACCACTGTGGGGCTGGGCAGGGAGTGGGGGCAGCGGGCAGAGCCAAGGATATTTGGTTCTTGTTGAGGGTTAAGGTATGGAGCCTGGGTAACCCTGGCAACATGAGGTCGTCCCCGAGCAGATTGTTGTCCAAGATGAGTTCCTCCAGGCTCCCGAACGCGCTCAGTCCTTCCAGTGACCTGCAATGACAAAGGCAACAGGAAAAATGATCCTGCACTAAATCAGGGAGGCCATTATGAGCCGAAATAAATATTTTAACCTTCCCTTTCAGGACTGGGAATAGTTTGGGCTTGGTGCCTGTCAGCAAAGTGAATGACAAGAATTAGTAGCAGGAGCTGGGGCGGGGGCGGCAGGGGAGAAGGGGCCGCTGGCACTCACCGCATCCTTCACGCATTGCCAACATGAAGGATGAGGGTCACTTAGTGAGTAGCCAGGATCCAAAACAAAGGGCTTCAGATACGGCCTGCAGGATAAATTTGTCAATGTCTTGTGCCTTCAGGCACCCAGCCTCGGCTGACCCTAACCTCCATTCCCAAGATAAATAACTCTGTCACAGTTCACCTTCATTCCCTGGACACAAATTTAAGTTGTCATCCATCATTCCTGCCCAGAAATATCATACCCTCTTACAATAATAAATATAACTTCAAGTATCATTTCTTAGCAGTTCTCCTCTGCACAGTCAGAGGAAACGGCCAGGAAGGCTTCCTTTCTCTCTGTTTGCCGCCTTTGACTTTTGTTTTCTCTCTGCTTTTTTTCTTTACTAATCACTTAACTTGCCTCTGCCCCGTGTCCCTGTGGCTGCCCCAAAAGGCAAGGCATCTGCGGAAGCACATGATCACTCCAGTTTGAAAGGGCTGTTTCTTTTTGTTTTTGTTTGGGACGTGAGTAGAAAGGGTTTGGGGGAATTTCTGTTTCAATGCCCCTGGCTTGAAGTTACTGTTTTAATTTATGGAAAGTGGATTTCTCACTTTATTTTTGAAAGAAGTGTCGAGTGCAAGCAATGTAGATGTCAGGCAGTAAATAAACAGGCATCTGAAAGAATTAAGTACCCGGCTTGGGGAAAAAAATATCAGAAAGCGAAAAATAACCTTGTTTATACTCTTAGCTGAAAGTTAACTCTTAATGTTATGGACTCAGAAGCGTTGGCAGGTGGAGGGGGTGAGGGACAGTTGTGTGCACGTGCTTGCCCTGGCGCACACAGACGTTCGTTAAAGAAAGCCCACCCGCCCGGTGGAGGGACTTACACAGACTCACATACTCCCAGCTCCTTCACCTGCTAGACCCAAGAGCAGTGCTGAGCCTGCACAGGCTGCCAGCCGAGCTACAACATCGACCAGAGGGCGGACTCGCGTGGGACCTCCTGGCTATTATACAAAATGTGACGAATCAGGGAGATGTTGTCTACCCTATTTGTTCATTTACTGATAGCACTTCCATTACAGACCCGCCTGCTTGCATGTGCAATGCCTGCACATCTGGTGTGAGTGTGAACTTTAGCACCAGAGCTTTCTCGAGGCATCCATGTCTCCTTTGTGGGACCTCTGCCAAGAGGAGTCCAAAATAGGGAGTCAATACTTGGGAGGTAGTAATATGCATCGTGAATAACTAATTAAACACCTAGACTCCACTGGGCCCAGAGCTCCACCAGCATGCCCCATTCCTGCCTGACCCTCAGGGTGGTCCCAGTCAGGCCCAGCACCCAGACCATGCCTCCTCCTACAGCCAACCCTACCTGCTCCACAGCAGGAGGGCAATACCGCAGACATTTTGGGTTAAGGGTCCACAGGATCATCAGGTTTCAGATCCTCCTCCTCCTTTCTCTTCTTCCTCAGGTTTCAGGGAGGCAAAACACCACTTACACACATGTAGTCAGGGAGGTCTGGGATTCTACCTCAGCTCCACCACTTACTTGTAGTGTGAATGTGGACATATCAATAACCCATCTGAACTCCCTTGCTCTGTGTTACTTCCACTCATAGGATCTTACGGAGAATCAGTGAAACAGGACTAACAAGTTACTAGCACATGCTGGTTTCTTTCTTTTCCTTCCTCCTTTCATCCATTGATTTTTCTGGAAGCCCTGACCTTGTGGGGGGAGGGTGTTCAGGATGCAGGGGGTGGGCAGATGAATAAATGTGCAAAGGTGTCCAGTAAGTCTGGCTTCTGCAGGGAAACTTCGACCTTTGCTGAAGTCCCTTCCTCCATGGGGGTTCATGAGTGATGATCCAAAAGTGCTTTTCAGGACCAGGCCCTGTTGACCACAAGCGGAGTCCAGGCCACCTCCCATCAGGGCGCCTTATGGATGGCTAATAAGTCCTTTGTGCACAAACATCAGCTGGGCTCTGGTCAAAGGCAGCATCCGAATACACATTGTTCCCGAGTTATGTTATGCAAATATAATACTTTTATCATGAGAATCAGCGGATGGTTGGCAACTGGCAAGCAGAAGAAAGCTCCCTTCCAAGAGTGCTTCAGGGGAGGCATAAAACAAAGTGACACAGCATGAAGAGGGACAAAGCCTGGGAACACTAGAGGGAGTGCCCGCAGGGACAGCCTGTCTCTTGGGGCAGGCTCTGGAGCAGAGCTCTATACCGGAGTGAGACTTCAGAGAGGTGTTGGGAAGCTCCGGCTCATATCCCCTGTCACCTGTCTAGTTTTGAGATTCTTTTTGCCATGTAATGTTATTAGCTCAGTTAAAAGAAAACCGTGTTATGTGGGGGGTTGCTAATTAATAAATCCCTGTCTTCGTGTCATCAGCGTGGTGTGCATTTGGTGATTTAATCAGCTGAATCAGAGCTGAGGGACTAGGGACAGGAGGCCGAGAGCGTAGTGAAGGGTAAAACTTGAGAGGACAGGATTTCTGCGCTTGGCTGGTGTGCAGAGGCCAATAAACACACACCTAGAAAATGGCTTTATTTTTTACTTTTTAAAAATTGTACTTCCTGTGTTGCTGTTGCTGCAGCTGTTTTCCTGGAAGGAGTAGGGGAAAGAAATCATTTGCCTCAATCTTTGAGTTCATACTCCCATATACAAGATGCCTGCAAATAGACATGTGATGTTAAATAAAATCACAAGGCAGAAAAGGCTTTAAGGATCCACACAGATCTACGCTGTTTAACGGGACAGCTACGGGAGCTATAAGGAAAAGATGACGGGACTGTAATTTCTCTGCTATAACCTTGTGTGTGGACAGCAAAATATACCTCAGACCCAAGAGCCCTGGTGGAGGGGGTGACCGTCACTCCAGGGTTACTCCCCAGCTTGGTTGGCAGTGGCTGCAGATGTCTGAGGGGTGGCTGGAAGGCGAGGCAGGCATGTCAGCCATGGGCAGGGGCTGCAGGGGGAGGGCAAGGCTTCACGTGCTACCTTGGCAGGCACAGCCAGCTGCAAAGAGGTCTTCCCAGCTCAGTCAAGAGCTGCCCAGGGCAGGCAGGGAGACCGGGCGTGCGGTCCTATCTGTGGCAGGTGGCTTGCTCTGGAAACCTAATCAGCACCTCCGAAGCGCACTGCAGGCTGCCTGCCTCCCGCTCCACCAGCAGGAAAGCCTCCCATTATCTCACCCACAGGTACCATCTCGGTTACCTCGTTCACAGGGCTCCAGCTGGGCTCCTCGAGGAGCCGCTGCGGCTGCTGGGAGAGTCCCAGTGCCGTTTCCAAAGTCACATCAAAATGACAAAACATCACAACGCATTCAGCTCCAGCGGATTCAAACAGAGAGAACTTTTAAGTTTCCACTGTAATTAACCCTATCTTCGTTAAGATAATTATGATCAAGCTTCCTGTCACAGTTAATATCCCAGTATCATTGCCCGTGGCTCACACTCTGCCCTCATTAGCTTATAAAAACAGCAGCACTAAACAGGCGGCCTGTCGCCCTTTCCAAGCTAGGCCAGTGGCTGTGAGCCCTTATGGAGAGGGGCCTCAGGCAGGGCAGCAGGCCCCACAAAGGGGCCGCCCCTTGAACCCCAATCCCTTCTGGGTGGGCACACGCTCAGCGGCCTTCATCCTTTCCCCAAAAGTTAGCCACTCGTCAGAATGGGGAAGGAGAAGGGCCAGGACCAGAGCATGGCTGGTAGGTTTGGGGCAGAGAAACTATCCCTTTCTACCCCTTACCGAGCAAAAATCCAGCCAGAAAAAATCACCAGAGAACACCTCCACTTCCCCGGGTTCAAGAACTGCCAATCTTTTTCCTGGAGGATAGGCTGCAGTAAGAATTACCTTTCCTCAGCTCCCAGCCTAAACCAGGGACGACACTTCTGCCTGGCACGAGATGCCAGGGAACAGGGAGACAGTTAGCCATACATCCTAAGAAAGAAATGTTGTCTCTCTTTGGAACCATAGTTGGCCTCAAATCCAGAACTAAATATTGAGATGTTCTCAAACCAATTAAGAAAATAAGATCCCCACTGAGATCTTTACCTACTCCCTCCACTCTATCTACCTAAATACACATGTTTTTAACTAAGAAAATGAGGAAGCCATGGAAATTCTAGAGGACCTAACCCATATGTCTGATGTCTACCACACTGGCTAGTCCTGCAGAGCTGCAAGGGTCAGCCGTTGCCTGTTCTATTATGGTTTTCCTGGATGATTTCAGTCAGCCCAGCCCCCAACAAGAAGAGATCTCAATGTAACCTCCATAATACCTGGAGAGTTGTCAGATACACAGTGTGGGCTCAATACCTCTTTGCCAACTGACTATCGCTCAGCCACGAGCCTGTGAGTTGCTGAGAAAAAAGCTGCCAGTAGAATCTCAAGGGCAGGACAAAGAGCAGACCTTGGGGTGGCTGGCCAGGGGCTAGGAGGGCAATCTCTAAGTTCACGTTCCTTCAGAGGCCAGAATGCCTCCCCCTCTTTACCCTGGGGCCAAGTGTCTGAGAACAGGCAGAAGTGACGTTCAGGGAGTCTGTACCCGTATACCAGTACTCGTTAACTATACTACCTAAATACTTCCTTACTAGTTGGTAAATAATTGCAGCTCTGAGTACCGCAAGTGCCCCTCCCTGTCACCCCGGCCACTCCATGGAGCCCTCAATTGCTTTCCACAATTCAGCAACTGAGTAGTTAATACCCCCACACCACCGGCCTTCAAGGACCCTGCTCCAGCCAGGATCTTTCTGATTGGTCAATGCAGTTAATAATTTAAACATTACCCTTGAGAGCAGGAATACTAACT